TCTTATAACTGTAAGAAGAGACCCGTTAAAGACCTTCTGCTATATAAATACTGTTAAAAGAACTGGAATAACAATATCTTCAATCTATTATGAAATTGGAAGAATACTATTAAATCTCATTAATAATTATAAGTTATTTAGAAAATAATATTCTGAATCTAGATAATTATTTAAAAACAAAATCAGCATTGTAGATACTATCTCAAAATATATATTAACCTTATAACTTTATCAATATTTCAAGGATCATGAAAATATACTTTGATCATATAAAATAGACAAATATTTAACTTCAAAAACAATTAGAAAATAAGCCAAAAATCTAGTGATCAATTAAAAGAAAAGATATTTCAACATTTTAATTTTATAGAGCAAAATCTTAACAGCAAGGATCCTGTTATATAATGAACTTTTATTGAATATTTTACTGGATTATTTATACTTAATATTATTAAATTATAAATATTTTATATTTTATTAAAAGAACTTAATCATGTGGAACAAGCAAATGAACAAGCAAGTGAACAAATAAATAAGTAAATGAACAAGTAAATAAATAAGTGTATATTGGATCAATATAATTAAAGTGAACTAGCAAATATGAATTCGTATAGCTGATGAATTATAGTTTGGATTTGTATAAAAATAACATATATCGTATCTATTAGAATTAAATTAGAACAAGTTTTTCGATAATCATATTTTTAATTATCATCTTATAGCTAGTTATTACATAGTTTTAATTGTTCATATAAGCAAAGTTTGCACTTATTATAGAGTAAGTAGTCAAGCGCAAACTCCTCTCTATATTTCTTTGACAAAATATTCTTGTTTCTTGTATAATCACTTTAGCATCATTGTCATAAGTGTTATACAGATCTTGAATCAATATTATAGTAGCTTAAATAAGATTGTTAGAAGTGTTATAAAAGTTATCATCTTAATACTAAATTATCTGAATACATTTGTGATGAAACCTATTGAACATTATATTAAACAAATAAATTATTATTATAATTTATAAATCTATCTTTGAAATTGTATTGCTAATAATATATTATTTACTTTCAATTTTGTATTGCTGATAATACAAATATTATAATATCTATAACTTTGACTTTGAGATTTTGAGAACTTTTTTTAGCAGTTCAAATTATGACATTTAAAAAAATATAATTATTAAGTGATTTTGTCACTAGTACTTTTAGTACTTATTCACATTCAGTCTAATAATTATAAAGTATTGTTAATACTTTGAATTGTTGTTAAGATATTGAAAATATTTATAAATATCTTTGAGTATTTCAAAAGTCAATCAAAATAGTAACAATACTATATACATGTTATCAAATATGTTTGCTCTATGTCATGTAATTGTCATTGAATATGTTATCAAGTAAATGATATCTGGACATGTTATACACATGCTATCAAATATGATATCAACTTACTTTATCTCTAGGAAATCCATTCTAGTTGCGTTCTAGTTGCAAATTGATTTTGCTTATGTTTAAAGACATGTTTTATTAAAATATATCGACTTACCTTGTCCCTAGTTGTAACTAAATGAAATTTTTACTGGTTACAATGTTAACTAGCTTATCATATGTGCCCGAGCCATTAATAAACAAATGTAATCCAAATTTTTTCTGTATAGCTGGGCAAATATCATAACCGTACTTTTATCCGGATCTTCATAATAAGGCTACACAAGATGTCACAAGTTTGCTTCAAATAATTTAAGAGTAATCACCACTTAAAAAAATGATGTGTTGTATTTTCTTTTTTCCTCTTATATTTCTATTTACATTCGTTGCATTCCTTTTCACAATTGGTATCATTGGCGCGACATCTATCTTGATTCTGTTTGCTGGGTATATTCTTTAATGAATGGGACGAACATGTATTTTTGTGAAAACCATATATATTAATATTGAGTAATGCCTCGTTAGACTTTTCATTTTATTTAAAATAATGAAGGAACAGAATCCACCCGAAACGCTTCAAAGCCTCCTCAAATATGAGCACAAACCTGGTCAGGCACAAAGGTTTCTCGGTACAGTTCAAATTTTTTTTATATACATGAAAAACATAGTGGCAATACATGTTTGATGTTTGTTTATTTAACCTACTGTAGCTTGCGTGGGAAAAAATTTCAGGTGGCCCTCCTCCATGCCGGAATATTTCAGAGGAGATGCCTTCGAACAAATTGCTGATGTTGAATTCGAATTTGATGATGAGATTGGGTTTAACCTTATATTTTTTTACAACGCGCTTGACACTGGTAAATTTTCTGGGCACGAAGATGAGTGGGTAACGGTGTACAACCAGAAGATAATAGAGTACGGACAGGAGTATGATGCTGAAAAATTGAACAGCATTCTCGAAACTATGCCTAGCGCCATCCAACTCCCGGTTGATCTGACACGTCTGCCTCGTAGTAAGCCAGCAAAGATCGTGACTGTTCAGCGTACTAATAATGGAGATGACTTCAAGGTTTGAATATGTAGATTGTAAATTTGGTAATGCATATCTATGTTGATTTATTTTAAATAAAGGTCAGAGTTCGTGTTAGAAGACCCGGAGAAGCCAATGTCGTCATTCTACCATATGATTTTTATGACAATACGAATAAAAACAAAAAGTATTCCTGTGTAGTTGATACAGGTGCACCCGAAACAATATTACCATATCACGTTAAAAGGATACTTGGAAGGAGAGGTTGGAATACAACATCATCACTAATAGCTGGGGGATATGGTGCACCTGCTAGACAAATTCGTGCATCTACGATGTTTGAGTTGTCCGTTGGTGATAACAACAATTGGAGTAAATGGGTTCATGCCCGAATTTTACTCTGGGAAAATCGTCCCGGAAATCAAGTAAAATATGCCCTCGTTGGCAATGATATCACGGATCAATTGGCTTATGCACATGAGCCAGGAAACCCATTAAAGTTCTTAGATATTGGAGATGAGACCAGACTCACTACATTTTTGAATACCTGTCATTAACCTCTAATTAAATATGATATTATAATGTATCGATATAAAAAATATGTCTAACAACCCATGGTAGCCTGATTACTTATATGATCCATAATTCTTTGAGTTTTCCGGAATCTTTACAATACCACATCTCAATTAAATAGATCCCATGCTTGCTGTTTGATAAAAATTATTCGGTCCCTATGATAGAGAAAAAATTTTTACTTAATTAATAAGCTGGTTGTTTCTATTCATCTATTTTTAATGGTGTGTCCCATTCCAATCTAATTGCGAGAGAATTATCCACTGGCTTAGTAAAATCAAAGATTACAAAATCTCGCTCCTGCAAATGCTTATCAATAATCTTAGATGTTCTTTTGGGATTATCTGTAAATTAATGTATTATTCTGCATAAATTATCTCTACTTCCTGAATCTCAAAATAAAGCTAAATGTGAAAATATTCTCACAAATTATTTTAGAAGTTTGTGTATATTTCTGACTTATATATATGGGTGAGATATTTTGATGCTGATCACTAATAAAGTAAGGAATAATTCATTTTTGCACTTTCTTTGGTTTGATACATAAATTCTCAAAAACAATAATTGTACTTTGCTCTGATGAGAATTTAGTTATATTAGGAATTTTACCTGGTGTCATTATTTTAAATATAATATTTCTTTATAAGATTTTGGATCATTTGCAAAAATCTAATAGTTATTTTGTATCAATTACCAGTTTGATTCAAAATGTTTTCCTATTAATATTAGATTATTATTTTTGATATATCATTCACCTTTCTTTCTCTTGAATATGTACTATAGTTTATTATCAAGCATAAGATTAGTAATCATATTTGTTTTTCATTATAAGCATTTTTACAAATTAATAATTTGAATAATTAGTTGGAAGTATATTTGTTAAATTTCATTTATTTTGAAGATTTGTTAAATATTTAAATATTATATCAAAAAAATAATAAGTTAGATAAGCATTTAAAGTTTTATTTTTATTCTATAAAATTCAATTTTTGAAGAATATTAGAAATTATTTTATATGGATCTTTATAATATTAAACATATTTTAATATGATCCAATTTTCTTTATAAAGTTTCTTTTTAATTTGATTTTGACATTGTTGATTGATAAAATTTTTTATATTCTCTTCATAAAAGAATTTAATATATTTTTCATGTTGTTAATCTTGTATTTCAATCATGAAATTATAATAATTATAAGAAATATCAAGTTGCAATTTTATAAAATATTCTGATATTTTTAGAAAATTAGGTTTGTAATTTTTTGATAATTTTTCTAAATATTTTGATACAATTTTACAATATAAATTCTTATATTTAAAATATAAATATAGTAAATACAAATACTCTCTTAGAATACTTTGCAAAGAGATTTCCCATATATAAAATTTTTCACAATATCAAAAAAGCTTTATATATACATTATAATATTATTTTGAAAAATAATCTTCATTATTTTTTGCGCTAAAATTTTCATATTAAAAATAGTTTGATTTTATTCATCACAAATAGAATATTATTAGTAATAATTCTTTATTTTATTTAAATTTGTAATTTATATATTATCATTATTTGATATTTTGATTACATATAAAATATTATGTGACATAATTTTGATAATTAATTATATTTTCATTTATATTTTTCTAGTGCAATTCAAAAATAAGTTTGTATTTATTCAAGCTTCAGTATATATTTAATATATATTTATAATATAAATGATTTATTATTTAATATATAAATTCAGTTTAATATATATAATAAGAAAAAAAAATAAAAAAATACAAATTAAAAATCTAATTTATTTTTTAAAGAACTCTGAATTCATAATTTCAAATATTGACTGGCTCTAATTGTTTTTAATGCAAGATTAAATCTTTTATTAGAAATCATAATTTCTCTAGAAAAAAAAAGTTATTCAGAAAATACAAAAGTAACAGAAATAGTTAAATAATTGCAAGTTATTTTAACAAGTTGAGAAAATTAAATTTGATGAGTTTTATAAAAAAGCAAAAACTTTTAATATTAAATTTATATAAACAAAATAAAAAACACTTACTTTTTACCAAGCCAAAATATTGATTTCTTTATTAGTGAATTTTTCAGATATATATTGTTCCAATTTATTGATATTATTATTATCATTATCAAAAAAATCTGTATTTAATTTAGATTTTAAAATATTTTTATGGTTACTACTTGAAGAAGAATATAAAATAAATGAAACTAAAGGATTATTAAAAATATATTCTGTTTCAAAAAGATTTCACATACTATATAAAAAAAATATATTTAAAAATTAATATTGAATAAATATAAAATAATATACTTATAGCAGTTTGATTTTATTAATATTCTTAATTGCAAATTCTTTTTTTGTAAAATAATTGAATTTTCTTTAAGAATTCAAAATAGTATATATTATTGTTATTGCATTCATTTTGAAGTAATATTGGATTAGTTTTTCTTTAATAACTATTATTACTATTTGTATCTTTGCTGTTACAAGAGAAATTTTTTTATTTTCTACATTTTTAATATAATTGATAATTATATTAAAAAGAAATATTATTAAAAAAATTATATTGTAAGAACTAGCTGAAATTTTTTGGTAAAATTCTTAAATGGTTCAAGAAATTGAGCTATTTGTTCTAAAAATATTTATTGCAAAGAGGAAATTACATACTGGTAAAACTCATTATATGAATAAATCAATGAATTTAGAATTTATAAAATTATAATATTAATATATATATAATTAATTTTTTAAAATTAAAAACAAGATATCCCAAAATTTTTAAATTGAATTATAATTGATTTTTCTTCACAGAGATATTAATAATTATTAAAAATTAGTAGATTTGACTGAATTAAATGAAACTATTCAAATAGTATATAATTCAATTTAATTATAATTAGTTAATAATAATAATTAATTATTATATTACAGATTATAAATTAAAAATAATTTTAATAATTCTAAATAATTTTAATTAATTATTAATATTTTACAAAGAGTGTTCAAATTCTTAATGCAACAAAAGCTAAAACTTACAAATTTTAATATAAATTATTTTTTATTATATTAAAAGTGAAGTTTCAGCAAGTAAAACAGTCAAGAATTGACTTTAAAGATTTTATATTGCAAGTTCAGCATGAATTTTTGAGTAATTCAAATCATTATGATGAGAAACAAATTGCAGCATGTAGTTCTCTAAGCTTTAAACTTATTAATATATTGTTACTGTTTTAATAGGACTTTGAAATACTCAAAGGTATTTATGATATTCAAAGAGGAAACTCAAATATCTTAATGATAATTCACAATCTTAATAATACTTTATAGTTTTAGACTGAATATAAGTTAAAGTATGATAAGTACTTATAAGAATCACTTAAAAGTTGATAACAGTTGTGTTTTTTTAAATATAATAACTGAACTATTAAAAAGAATCCTCAAAATCTCAATATTAAAATATAATATATATATTAAAAACGTCTTTAAATCTTTAAAAATCAAATATAAGATATGTTATTCATATTATCTGCAATATGAGATTGAAGATAAGTGTATAAATAATATATTATTAGCAATACAAAGTCAAAGATAAGTTTATGAGTAATATATTATTAACAATATAATCTCAAAGATAAATTTATGAATTATAATAATAATTCCTTTATTTAATATAATGTTCAATAGATTTCATCACAATATGTTTAGAAAGTCTAGAATAAAGATGATAACTTTTATAGTGCTCCTGACAATCTTGTTCAAGTTACTATAATATATGTTGATTCAAGATCTGTATAACTTCTTATAAAGTGATTATACAAGAAAATGAATACTTTGTTAAAAGAATATAAAGAGGAGTTTGTGCTTGACTACTTACTCTACATAAAGTGCAAACTATATTTCTTTGAATAATCAAAACTATATAATAACTAATTAGATATAGTAATTAAGAATTACTATCTAAAAGAACTTGTTCATATCTAATTCTAATAATTATAATACATGTTGTTTTTATACAAATTCAAGATATAATTTATCAGCTATACAAATTCATGTTTGCTATATCACTTAAATTCTATTGGTCCAATATTTGTTTGCTCATTTGTTTGCTTAATTATTCATTTGTTCACTAGTTTGCTTGTTTGCTTGTTCGTTCACTTCACATGATTTGATCCAATAAGATATAAAATATGTATAATCCAATAATATTAAATATTATGATGAAAGATCATTATATAACAATATATAGTTAAATAATATAACAAATAATACAGCAAATAATAATTATTATCTTATCAATTTCTTCTTTAACTTCAAATAGAGCTGCTTGAGTGACTAAATTTAAAATATGTGAAAAATAATGAAATCATAAGAGATTTGAGTTTCATTTAATATCTGAATCTTGCAGTTTTATCACCAATTCTTATATAAATATATTATTATTTGAGACATTATTCAGTGTGATAGCTAGCAGCTAATTAATTTTAAAAAATAAAAATAAATATTAAACATTAAAGATAAATATCAAATATAAAAGATAAATATCAAATATAAAAGATAAATATTAAATATAAAAGATAAATATTAAATATAAAAGATAAATATTGAATATTATCATCATTGTGACATATTATATATTATTTAGCTATTTGTTGACACGTTTATGCAAAAGACCAGGAAGGTGAGCATAGCGTTGTTATGATTGAAAATTTCTATAATTTTCATAATTTTCATAATTTCCATAATTTTTATAATTACCATAATTTTCATAATTCTTATAATCTTTATAAACTCTAAAA